GAGCCCCACACCCCTGCTTCCTGTGGGCACCACTCCACCAGGCTGGACGGGGAGGGGCCCAAGCTCAGCTGGGGTGAGCGGCATTTCCCAGGATTCACAATGGACTGTGGGAGCCACTGACCTCGAGGCCACCAAACTGACGTTGGGTTCCCGGGACAGGGGTCCTTCATGCCTCGGGGGACAGCGGTGGGCCACTCACCTGAATGTGAAGAGGGTCCCCATGTCCAGCATCGTCAGCAGCTCCGCCTTGGACTTGGGGAAGGAAAGCCGGTAGCGCAGCGTCTCGAACGCAGGGACGATCATCGCCTTCTTGGTGTTGGCGAGGTCCAGCTGGACGACAGACTTCCTGGAAAGACAGGCAGCAGGGTGGGCCCGATGCCTGCTGAGCCTCCTCCCTTGGGCAGGTGGTGGCTGGCCCACCTACAGCCCACCAGACACTGCGCAGGGAGCCCAGCCCTCTGGGCACTGGACGCCGGGGTGGGGCGGCTGCTCTGTGTGCCAACGGAGGTCCCGGGGGACTTCCTGCAACTCCCTCTGCACTGCTGGCCACAGGGCAGCATGGGGACAGTGCGGACCAGCGTCCCAGCCCCCAACTCCTCAGCCCCTGCAACGGCCTGGGCCCTGCACCTGGAGGCACGGGGGCATGCCCTGGAGTGAGCGGCTGTGAGCACCGTGACCTGACACCTCGAGCACGCGTGGCATGAGATGGGCACATGGGGACAAACAGAAGCGACTGCACCATATGGGAGTGGTGGGCACTGGAGGGCATCTGAACGCTGAGGGGAAGCAACTTCACTGCTCACAGGAGGACCACTATTCTAGTGCCACATCATTCGACAGCATTTGAGCACTGCATGGCAGGGACCAGGTCGGAGCCTGGGCAAGATGATGCCAGCAAGGCTGGTGTCCACGGTGAAGCCTCGGAATCTCGCCTCTAGTTCACACTTTTCATTAGCCCTGAGTTGGCCGTGTGCCGAGTGACGTCCGGCTGTGTGTCCTGCCTCGGGGTGGGGGGTGGGTGAGGGCTGACCGCAGACGGCGCGTGGAGCTATGCTCAGCGTGAGTGAGTCAGCCCGGCCCCCGCGCCGTCTGTCTGACGGGAGGGATGCCGAGGCCCCTGCTCCAGGCCGGCACCCAGAGTCAGCCTCTTCCTGTCAGCTGTGTCTTCTCCACTGCTCGTACGATGGAGTCGGGACAGGGAGGTCTAAGAAGCCCTGCAACCCGGGGTGTCGGGGAAGCCGTCCCAGACGGTGTGCCCGCTCCTCAGTCCACGGTCCCTGAGCACCTACTACATGCCGGGCTCTCAGACAGGGCGGCAGTGTCTGCTGGGTGGTGCCTACGTCTTGCTCTAAATGTCTCCATATGCTGAACGCCCACGGGGCCCAAGACTGGTCTGCAGCTGATTATTTTAAGAAGTGAGTGCTGTGGAAATACAGTGGGAGGCGGCGAGGGCTGAGCCACGAAGGGACTGGCAACACACACACACAGACAGCAGACACGCACGGTTCAGGGGCTCTGAGCACTCCCGCGGAGCTCACTGGCTCAGCCTCACACCCCGCCGAAATCACTGTCGCTACTCCAGGAGCCCCTTCTCCGGACGCCCTGCTCAGAAGTGCTTCCTCTTCCTCTGGGCCGGGCAGGGGCCCGCGCCCAGCACTCGGCCTGCCCTGTCTGTCTAGGGAGGTGTCTGACCACACCAAGCAAGGCCGTTCCTCACCCTTGGAAATCTGCACAGATGAAGACACAGGACTTAGCCACACCTGCAGCGCTCCCCGACTTCCTGACTTCCACTTGGGGGGCTGGAGTTGCACGGGTTTCCCAAAGTGACTCTGACTCCCCAGCCCTCCCCAGGGACATGAGCGTCTGTGGGCGTGGGTGTCCGTGGGGTCCTGGCGTCGAGCCCCTGAGGCCTGGTGCCTTCCCTCGTGAAGGGATGACCTCATCTCTCAAGCAGAGACTCGCAGGGGCGAGGCACGGTCAGGTGAGAACTGGGGCTGTCACTGGCCCTGCGGCATGGAGGTCGAGGGGGCCCCTCTGTGGCCACAGGCGCCTGGACAGCACCGGAAGCCCCCAAGCCTGCAAGAATAGACTAGTCACAGGGGGCAGGGCTGGATCGGTGAGGGACAGTCTGTCCCTGCTCCCGTGCTGGGTGGGGAGAGGCCAGGAGCAGGGACCAGCGTGCGGCCCGTGTCCGCAGCGGAACGCTCGCCCGTTGCAGTGCCTTTCTAACGCTCCCAGGCATTTCATCTTGGCGACTGCAAGTTGGGGAATGAGCTTCTGTGGTCTGCAGGGCTGGCTGTGTGCACGGGCTTCGTCAGCATCCACCAGGGAGCTCTGCCAGCAGGAGTTAACGGGTCGGGAGAGGGTGTTCTAGGAATCTGCAAAGCTCTGACGCAAGAGCACACCAGCATGCAGGAACACTGGGTCCCTTACAGCACGCCTGGTCTGCTGTACGTGATCAGTAAGTGGTGCTAAGTGCTCAGGGTACTCAGCATCAAGCACTTCCTATGCACTGCTTCTTGGGTCACTGCCCCTCGTGACTCTGAGCCACTGTGCACAGCACTGGGCAGGCCAGTGCCGCTCTGGGAAGGTTGGCACTGAGGGCTCCTACAGAGCCAGCAGCGTTCACCATGTCCCCAGATCACGGTGCGGACAGCACGGAACCCGCACCGGCCCAGCAGGCTCGGGGAAGCTCCGGGTCTGGGGCTCAAGGGTGCTAGTGGGCTGACCCGCGTCTGCTTCGGCCTGTGCAATGGCCGTGACCAGCACAGCGGTGGGTGACAGTGTGACAAGGCAGCGCACACTGGTGTGTGCACCCCTCCCGGGGCCTCTCTGCAGCGAGAGTGAAAGTTAGACGGTCCCTGCAGTGACCCCGCTGTGCTCAGGTGCCAGGCGGCGGGGCTGGCAGAGCCCCAACGCTGAGTGCTCTGATGGCCCGGCAGGGCACCTGCCATCCTCCTTCGGGAGGACACTACCAGCCCCTCGCTAAGGTGAGAGGCCGGAGGTGGGAGCTCAGGAGAGGAGCAGGCTCGCCAAGTCCCGTGCCCCGTGTGTCGGGACCCTGTGTCCAGAGGCAAGTCTGTGCCCCCGCGCCCTCCCCAGAGCTGCGCCGACGTCTCTGAGAACAGCGGGGCTGGTGCACACCGCACACCCCTTCTTTAGGAGACGCAGGAGGAGGCCGTGAGATTCCAGTGAAACTCTGCTGCTAGGTCCACGCCTCAAGCTGGCGTCACCATTTTCCAATTGAACCGTTTGTGCTGTGATGTTAGGCGGCTGCTAAGCAACTGTTCTGAAGGCTGGATGCTGAATGTTTTTGGAAACCAAGGAGGACCTCAAGAAGGATGAGCGTTTGGGGTGAAATCAGAAAGTTTTGGGAACCCTGAGGGACCTGGCCCCTTCCGTGGGGTAAGCAGGCTGTGTATACCTTGTGCTCTGACTACTACCTAACCTGCCTGGGCCTCGGTGTGGTGCCCTGTAGAAACTGCCCACCACACAGGGAAGTGTTAGGGGAGGAGGGGATGGGCAGTAGTGGGGCTGGACACACACAAGGGCTCCCTACGGGTAATTGCCATTGTCTTCATCAGTAGTATTCGGACAGTGCTCGGCCACAGCTTCCGGTCAGTGTCAGTGCTGGGGGGCACTGTCCTCGCAGGGCTTCGCAGTTACCTCAGTAAACAGCGTCCCTCACCCCACCCAGCCGGAGCCACAGCGCTGGTCAGAGGCATGCACACTTGTGATGTGCAGGCTGGAAATGAGCCCTGACTCAGGGGCACAGTTCTCTGGAGGCCCACGGCAGGGCCGCACCGCTGTCCACGGGTGGGGAGGGCCGGGCACGGACAGGGCTTCTGACGTAGCCGTAGTCCTGTCTGGCTTCGGGAAGGGCCGGGGTCAAAGGTCACAGCACACAGTGGCAGGTGTCAGGCCGGGGCAGGAGGGGGCCTGGCAGGCTCAGGAGCGCTAGAAACCTAGTTTTGATGATTGGCTAATATTTAAAAAATAACTTATGGGAAAATCCAGATTGCCAGTGTTTTGCATGTTCTGTAGACCTAAGACACCGAGTCCTGCCAGCACTGGAAGTGCGCAGTGCGAGGCGGCGGGTGCTCCGAGGTGGCACCGTGGTCCAGCTGGAGGGCACCTTAGGTGGGGTCTGCAGAGGGTGAGATGGCCCTTGGGGAGGGACATTCAGGCTAGAATGGTTAACAGTGCAGATTGAGACTGTAGCCCTCATAGCCCAGGGGTCCCTCTTTCCCAGGAGAAAACTGAGGTCACCGGGCGTAAGTGGTCGGGCAGCATCTAAAGGGGTGCTGTGCTCTTTACCGTGTGTTATCTCTGCGGCCGTAGGCGGTGGTTTGCGCATCTTACCCCACTGGGCCCACACACCCAGCCCCCACGGCAGCTGGAGCCGGGGGACAACGGGACATATATCGAAGCTACC